TTTACAGGTTGTTGTTTTTTTTTACTGCAGCTGTGACACTTTCATTTCCCTTTGTGGAATCAAGAAGATAATCTATTAAGCAGCTGCATGTGATTTGGGCTCTCTGTGATTTTGCAGCACTGCTCATGACAAAGAATAAAAACAAACTTTCACATTTCTTATCAAACTCCCTTCAATTCTTTGCAGCACTCAACCAACTCTGTCAGGCAAACAAAAAAGGCAACTGCAGGAGAAGCTGGAGTACGTCCAGGAGGTGGTCAAGACCAAAAAGGTATTACATGTGTGTTTGAGTGTGACTAAAACGGTACTAATAGAAATGCATTATTGGGATTTTAAACTGTCTAATATTTGCCTGTAGAAAAAGCTGTATGAAGATTACCTCCGTCAGAGTGTCAGCGATCAGGACATGGACTTGTAAAGAAAGACAGTGATGCACACAGCGATTCCACATCCCCACACTGACGTCGGACCAAATGAAATAAAAGCTTTGCCAAGGTTTCACACCAGCCGTCATGTCACTGACCACTAGATGCTGCATACTGTGGAAGTGTGCAGATGTACATTTTAAGCACATGGTACACTTGTAGAAAAGCTTTGGTGCTTTGGATACTGTAAAGTTTGTTTACGTATTAGATGGTGTTACCTCTGTAAATGCTCCAAAACCACACTACCTGCAGATGATTAGTGTTTGGAGATGACCTTTTGTTACTGATCACTTATTGTTGTAAGCATTTATATACATGTATTTTGTGCCTCTGCACCAGTCAAATGAATTCAGGCGTATACCACTTTAAGATATTTAAACATTTTCAAACTATTTATAATATTTCTTTATCAGAGAAATTGTATTTTGGTTAAATGGCATATAGCACTGGTTTACATGAGTCACTTTGTATGAGTTTCCGAAGACTTTCACCAGCATTTTTATACAGTACTCTGGCTGCTTGGTATCATGAAGTTACAGTTTGAGGTATTAATCCAGGTCTCATCATGAATGTCTGTGAAAGGTAATGTGTAGAATATTCAATTAACCACACAACTCTTGTTATTGAAGTAAATATCCAGCAATCGAACATTTTATCAGTGAAGTTTTTGTACTTTCCTGTTCTATATTGTGACCATGTTTTAACTACAAATGAATTAAATAAATAGTGTTCAATATACTGTCGGAGGTTCCTTATTGAGATTAAGGCCCCATCTACACGCATGCAGATATTTTTGTAAATGGATATTTTTCTCTACGTTTTGGCCTCTTTTCCATGTGTAAACAGACAAAAACAGATTGATTGATTGATTGATTGAGGTGAAGATTTTTTTTAAAAATAAACAAACAAACAAACAAAAAAACCTCCAGTTTATCTGTGTGGACATGTAAAACAGAGCATTTGGGAAATGGTGATGTCATCTCCTCAAAGAGCATGTGCTAGAAACAAGAGGGGTCTAGATGCAGTCTTGCAGACTACTCACTTCACCACAAGAAAGAAACAAATCTTAAGAGGAGTGCATTTCAGGTTTTAGTTGTGCATGTAATCATTTCTTTGTACTTCTAAATTCCTTGACTCTCCGGTTTGAATAACAAGTCAGGTACCACCCTGGAGATCTTAGATACAGTCTCTACAGAAAATGTCTGCCTCTAGTGGACTGATGCCTTTACAAAAGGCTTAGTGCCACATTTTGGGATATCCTTTGTTTTGATTTTCATTAGGTGGGAGTAATGACATGATGCTCTGCCCAAATCCTGTTTGAAAATATCTGCATTTGAAGATGACAGATGATTATTGATTATGTGTAACCATACAAAAATGTGTGTTGTTTGGGAAAAAGTGTTCTGAAGTCTCCACATCAGAATCAGAGTAAGGTTTATTGCCAAGTTGGTTTTCACATTCAGTGAGTTTGCCTTGATGTTTTGATGCCTACAATTAAACTTTTTAAAGGAAATAAAAACAAAAGCAAGTCACAAAATTACAACGGAAATGTGAAAATACACTATAAAATGGTTATAGTATATCTGCAGGGTGTCTTAAATTCAATTTTATAAATATTTGGCCTTAAAAGTCATTAAATAGAATTTGTGAGGTCTTAATTGCCGCTAACATTTTATCTAATTTCATTCATCCATCTTTTAAATTTTTTTGGCAAAATGACTCAGTATCTTCTGCATAAAAGTCCATATTTCTGATGTTACACACCTTTAGATCTACCACTGAACCTTATTCTGTTATTTTACTTTATAATTGCACTTATATGTTGGCAAAATGTAGATTAACCCAACTGGCTTTAACAACCATATTCCTACATACCTCTCTCTGCACAAGACCACATGTATACTACTTACATTTATACTTTCTTTAAATGTTTGATCAAGCAAAATATGATTTGTCCCAAAAATCGGTCTCAAGTTTAGTTAAAAATGTCTTAAAATCATAAAATGTAAGACCTTATTGTTATGTTTTTCTGTTACCAAATTTCATTCAGCAATTTGGATGTATGATGACATAGTAGCAAAGTTTCATGTTTTTCTTTTTCAGGGATATTAATCTTGCCTGAGAGCATCTGTCACAAATATCAGAGAGGTTTGGATAGATCTTCGATAATCTAGCTTTGCTAAAATGGATCCTGTGAAGAATTATCATGATCTGTTTTAATTTGTAAGATTGTACCTATATTTCTTCTCCTCTTCATAGTTTTGTTCTTGCCACATCCGTTTGACTGCAGATGAATAGGGGCAGGATGCATGCCATCCTCAATATCACATTTCTAGATGAAGAGATGAAAATCAAAGAGAGGCATGTAAGAGTATCAGGGCTGGAAAATGAAGTTGGATCAAAATAGACTCGCAGGTTTGGCCAGAGCATGTAAATGGAAGGATTCTGCTGTAATCACAGGTGAAAACTGTTTATAGCATGTGGTTTCCAGTTTGGTGAGAACAGTGATTTCAAATCTTTTGTTTTTAATTGAAAAGCAAACAGAGGAAACTATAAATCTTGTAGTCATGCCTTTGTCAAGCAAAGGAAGCAGGTGCAAAAGGACTGCTGCCAACAAAACACTGTTTTCCAGTTTCAAGGTTATTACCAAGCTTGACTTTTAGCATCTCTGTCAAACACTGCCAAGTGAAATAATTCACAGATGAAGTTTATGAATCACTTAAATAGAGTTCTGCTCTTTTCTCTTATAAGAGGGATGATTAACCGCAAAGTGAAACATTATGAAGTCCCTCTAACATAACTCTTATATTAGTTTAAGGTGTTGAACACATGATATCATGCACATACAGTATGTTATTACATAATCTTTCCTCTGTGAAGGACAACAGAGGACTTCACATCATATCAACATGCAGTATGAAAAGTGACCTGCTTGCCAAAGCTGATAACACACAGCTGAAGCTCATTGTGTATGTAGCACTGTGAACAGAACAAACAGATTTCTGTGCTGACAGTTTTTTGTTGAATGGAGGAATTGCACTGGAAGCACTGGGAGCCATGACAGAGCAACACAGCCACATCTTTCATTATGACACAGAGGCCAAGAGACACCATTTCTGATCAGCAGGTCCTTCCTCCTGCACACTGCCTCCAAAATGGGAGCTACATTTGAATTATATCCTACATAAACTGCAGGATAATCTGAAAAAAAGAGAGATGTGATTTGTCGTAATATTTGGATTTTTCTTCTCAGTACATTCCTCTTTAATTTTGAAAAGGTAACTTGCAAAGGGTATATATCAGTGCTGGGAGCAGTAATAACATACCATTCACGAGGACCAAAATATAAAATAACTTAAAATTGTCTTCCTCCACCAGAGGGTATCCTTATTAGAGAGGAAAAAGTCATTTTTCAATACCTCCATATTGCTTTCATCAAAGAGGTTACAATAGTGTTACAGTAATTTTAAGTTCTTCTCTTATATATGTCCAAGAAAATTGAGAAATGCATTTTTTTTTATCACACACTAACTTTTTTTTATTTTTGACATTAAAAACTTGAAAATTTTCATATATGATAATAATATATAGGCTATTTTGTTTCAACTGCTGCAGTTTACAGTGAGTCCACGAGACTATCTTGGAGAATTAAAGGATCTGTTTCAAAATCACAGTGCCCCATCAGCAAAAATAAATAAAGATTAAAAAAAATAAAATAAAAATATAAACTAATAATAATAAAAAATAATAAATAAATTATTATTATATGCTGATCAAATAATAATAACAATAATAATGATAACAAAAATAATAACAATTGGTGGGCCATATAAAAAGAATTTATTAATTTTTGTTATTTATTATTATTATTATTATTATTATTATTATTATTATTATTAGTTTATATTTCTAGTTTTATTTTTGAACTTTTTTATTTATTTTTGCTGATGGGGCATTATGATTCTTTAGTAAATTATTATTATTATTATTTTTATTTTTATTTTTTTTAAAGATCCTTGAATTCTGTAAGATAGTCTCAAGGACTCACTGTAAACTTCAGCACTTAAAACAAAATAGCATATATATATATGTGATCATTTTCCATTTAATGTCGGAATTAAATAACAAAAGTAAGCGCGTAATTAGTAAATATCAGCTATCGTTCTTTAATAATAATGAAAATAAAAATAAAGATAGAAATAAAAATGAAAATAATAATAATAATAATAATTATTATTATTATTATAAGAGTAAATAATGAAATACAATAATAAATGAATGAATGAATGAATAACAATACATAAAACAAGAAATAAATAATGTTACAGTATATGGTATATTATTTTTGTGACGTACAAACTGGGGTTCAGTGACCCCCAGCGGTCATCAAACAGTGGACATGATGACAGGATGCCTAATGTCCAGGGAGTGGCAGCAACTTAAACCAAAGCTGTGGTCACTTTTCTTGGTATTTTAACCTCCATAAAATCCGGTCAAATCAGAAGCCAAAGCGCATAGGGCAAGGCACTCGTGAACAGGAAGGAGGTTGACGTCATTTCCGCAGGCTTAAACCGGGGAAAGTTGTTTCCTGAAGTTGACACTGCGCTGATCATTTCCACACCTAAACTCTGCTGCTTCTACAAAATGACTCCGAAAGGTTTCCCGGATTTTTGATAGATATGTTTTTTATCGTCAGGTGAAGTCTGTCTGACGAGAAAATGAGCTCCAGCGGTGAAGACACAGGTAATAAAAACTGCAGCGGTAAACTTTAATCTGCTTTACGTGTAACGGGATTGGTTGTGAGGTGATATGCTGTCACCTTTACAGTTTGAGTTTTTAGTATACAGTAATGTAAACTTGTTGTTTGTCTGCACTGTGACTGAAACCTGTTGATTGTGAAGCAGCTGTGGTCAGTAAACCGTTTAACGGCCTGTTAGCATCGTTGACCATAGAAATAAACAGGCGCTGCTAGCCGCTAGCTAACACTTTAGCTTAACTAAGTTAACTGTCAAAACTGGGGTCCAGCACCTTCTATAAACCGCGTTAATTCCGTACACGAGCTTAGTTTCACTTCCTTCATTTGCTAGTATCATAGACAGTGGTGTGACTACTGTACCAAGTCATATTTGTCACAACAGATTCTTTTCTATGTGCTGCAGGTGGCTTCATTAGCAGTTTAGCAACTTTAGGTCCCATATCATGTTAAGTGTTTACCCGTTTGCTAAAACATGAGCAACAAGTGTTACTGTCAAGTTGTCGAACATAAGAAGACAGATCCTCAGCTGTGCTTTGCCACATTAGTCAAAGAAATACAACGAAGTGTGTGTGTGAGTGTGAGTAAAGTCTCTACATATAATGGGAGCAACAGTAATCCTAATGTTGTGTTCAGGGTCCAGGAGATCCAGGGCTCTGACAGCTAAAAAAAAAAAAATAGGCCTACTTAAAGGTCCAGTGTGTAGAATTCAGGGCATCTATAGGCAGAAGTGGTATATAATATCTATAATCATCTGAAAATAGGAATTGTTGTGTTTTCATTACCTAACAATAAGCTGTTTATATGTACATATGGAAGGGACCCTCCTCCACAGAGTCTGCCATGTTGAGAATGGATAAACCAAACACTGGCTCCAGATAGGGCCATTTGCATTTTCATGTCAGCCACCATAATTTTCCTAAACGCTTGGTACACAGGAGAGATTTCAGCACTGTAACCTCACTGCTAGATGCCACTTAATCCTAAACTCTGGACCTTTAAAACAGATATTAAATTAAATTGCTGATTGATTAAAAAAAAAGTGAAAGGGATTTATTTCAGCCTTATATTATTTAATAAATTGAACATTGAACTTAACACAAAATACACATTAAACAGGATGACAGTTACATTTTAAAGTGCAGTTTTCTACTGATATTCTCTTTTACAGTGTGTTTATTGTGCAAATTGAAATCACGATGACAATGAAGAAAAGATATATGGTACAGCCCTACTATATGCATTGTATTGTGTAATGCATTCACTTGAGAATAATGGCTTGGTCAACCCCCAGCTACTCAGCCCCATCCTGGGCTTCACTTGCGATCTTGTTGGCTGTGACTCCCACTCGCTGCACTCAGTGGGGGCAAATCAAAGCAGATTTTTTTTTTCTCAAGTGAATGCATTACGCTTTTGTAATTATCACATCACCCAGACACTGAATATTAAGATAATAACTTAGAAAACTGATTTTATTTCATCTCCTGTTGTGGTCTATTTGACCCCAGATCTAAGCATGAACAGTAAATTTACATACTGTACATGTCTTTATCTGTGATTAACAAAAGGAATATATATGTATTGATTTGTTCATGCATATAACATATGAAACAAGAAATATTTTCTTATGTGGTGCCATGTCAGTGCTTTATAATTATCCTGTCACCTTCATTAAACATGTAGTTTGTGGCAAACCAGTAAAACTTCAAAACTTTTCTACTTATCGGGTTTTAATGAGGTCAAAAGAAAAGCAAAAAGATATTTTAAAGACCAAAGTGGTTAGATTTCCAATTATTATCACTAGTTTTAGACTTACAGCAGAGGAATCTTCCTTAAGTTTATTTACCAGTTCACTCATTTGACTCATTTATAGATAAGCTTCATTCTCTTCATTGATCTCCCTCTGTACCAAACAATGTGATCAGCTGGTTATGCTCCTGTCATACACTCAAACAACTAAGAATGTTGTCAGATTGGGTCAATCATGGACTAATCCTTGCTCATAAATACACATACACACCATTACACGACTGGCAGACTTGCGTGCAACTTTCAAACAGCTCTATCAGTCTACTCTGTGCACAGATAACAAGGATGACATAAACATGCTGTAGTTTTACAAAAGTGAGTGATGCAAAGAATTTAGAGCTGCGTCCTGCAAAGTTCCCAGCACATAGATCCGTGACATCAGATTTCTTTCTTTTTATCGTATAGTTACATATTTAAAGGTCTTGTCTGATAGCTAGTAATGCAGATTCCTTTTTGTTGCGTCACCTCACTGTTTCTCATACTGGTGTGATTCCGGCCCTACTGATGCAGACATCCTCAAAATAACATAATGAAGGCAAAACACACGACAACCTGCTGTTTATCATTTTTCAGTGGCGAGCCTGCAGGCCCAGCTAGCCGAGTGCCGAGCTCAAGTCGAACACTGGCAGGGCGTGGCGACGATCTGCGAGCTGAGCAAACAGGAGGAACTGGCAGAGCTACAAAAACAATGTGATCAAGAGATCCAGTCTCTCCAGGAGGCTCTCAGAGGTCAGTATGTGTGTAAGTGTGGTTGGCTGTGCCTTCATGTTTGCATGTGCCTGATAAGCACGGTGAGTTTGTTACAGTCCTTTTTTGTCTATTTATATAAGGTTAAGTATTTTTTATATATTTCTTTCTTTTGTAAATCAGAGCCTAAATAATTTGGATCTCCTTTGGATATGTTTTAACGATAAAACCTGTTAAAGATGATACTTTTAAACTGTGAAAAATACCGATACTATGTTTTTAAGGGATTTTTTTAAAAAACCTGAACAGCTCTAGGTTTTATGATTTTCTTTTTTTGTTCCTTTGTGTAGTTTCTAAACTTCCAAATGAATTAAGTAATATTAATTACAATGTTGACTTTCAATCAATAGTATTAGTTTAACATTTAATACAAAGGTCAGAAGGAACTGACTAAAATGTTGGTATGTTGCCAAGCTATTCAATAAGGTGAAAGGTCAGAAGAGGAGTGGGAAACATTGACATGCTCCTTTTTAAAACAATGAAAGTTTGCAATGGTGTTAAAATATACTATAACTAACATATTGTTAACAAAATAGGAAGTAACATAAAATGCAGCTACACTTTTTTAAAGGTATTGTGAGCTTTTAATCTCGGCCTTTTAGCTAAACCAAATATTGTTCATCTGTCTGAGTAAATTGTTTCATTATTATTTTATTATCCTGTCGTGTTTACAGAGACAGCAGCACAGTATGAGGCCAGGATATCTGTTCTCCAGTCTCAGCCTGTGGAGTGGAGAAGAGCCAGTGGGCAGAGCATGGTCAGTGTTTAATGTTGTGTCTTTACTCTTGAATTGTTCCCAATGTTCTGGACTTAATCCCAGCTTTTTTTTTGTACCTGTCAGATGAGTGGAAGGAAAGGCAAGATGGAGGCAGATGAAATGAATAGAACACACACAACCAACAGCCTGACAGATGCCGAGGCCACGGCGTCACCAGACAGAAACTCACACCAATCAGCGGAGCTCGACACAGTGGCGGAGGGAGAAGGACCATCGCTTACAACAGAAGGGTATTTTTCACTGCGGCACTGTGACTCGGCCTCGCTGTCGTCGTTCTCCTTAGACACGCCGTCTCTGCCCAGAAAACTCAACGCACAGGACGACACTGACTCTCTGCTCTCCACTGGAACTTTGGTGCCTGAAGCCATCTACCTGCCGCCGGCCGGACACAGACTGGTCACGCACAACGACTGGGATTCACTAAATGCTCAGGTATGGATGTAAAACTATGATATGAGAGATCAGGTTTCTTATATGAAAAAAAGAATATTCACGCCATTCCATGGGGCCCATACACATGTCGTGTCTTTCACTTCCTGGAAAACGTGAGGTCAGGTGCTGGGTGCTACACTTGTGCTAAAAATTGATTTGACAGCGCAAAAATGCAGCATGTGTTCAGGCCCTTACACTTAAATCTGTGCAGTTTTTCTGATTATAGCAAGATTTTGGTCCGACTAAAATCTTCCTCATAGACAGATGACTTTGTGGCGTAATGACGTGACGGTGTGGTGTGTTGGGCAGGTGTCAGAGCTGCGAGTGGAGGTGAGTCGACTGCAGGCTGAGAAGGAGGAGCTGGAGAAAGAACTGGACACACAGACCAACAACACACACAAACAGGTGAGCAGCACTGCTCTGAGTGTGGGTACACAGCACATACAGTACTTCACAATAAAAACAGAGCACATTAAAACACGGGGAGAATCAAAGAAACACCAAAAACTAAACATATTTATAAGTCGTAAAACATATATGCAATCACAGAGAAGACATTTTAAAAAAGTGGGTTATGAAAGTGATTTAAAAGATGAGACAGAGTTTGCAGCCCTGATCTCCTCAGTGGGGTCCTTCCAAACTCCAGGAAATCTGACTGCACAGGCTCTATCACCTTTGTGAATTAATTTGGACCTTGGAACAACAAGACACAATGCATCTGAGGAGCTCAGGCTGCGGGAATGGACAAAGGTCAATTAAAAATATGATAAACAACTTGGGATGAGGCCTTTCAGTGCTTTGTACATAATCAATAATCTTGAACTCAATTCTAAAAGTAACATGTAGCCACTGTAAGGAAGCCAGGATCAGTGAAATGGGATCATGTTTCTTTGCTGTAGTCACGGTGGCAGAGTTTTGGACGAGCTAAGGGTGGAGCTAAGGATTTGCTGATGTCAGAGAGTAAGGGAACACAGTCGTCAGATCGACTAGTTATGACAATATATACACGTTAATTTTTTTGTTTGTGTGTGTGTGTGTTCAGGTATCAATGCTCCAGTCACAGGTCCACACTTCAGAGGCCCTTCTCCAGGATCTGCAGAAATCTTTTAGCCAATCACAGAACGCTGTCCAGAGTCGGCTGGTGAGTGATGTAGATCCTACAGAGTGTGTGTGACTGTGTCAGGGATAGTCCTTAAAGAATAAATTCACCATTTGGGAGATACACTTATTTGCTTTCTGCCCAAGAGTTAAATCACTACCAAGCACACATCTCTCCAGTAGTTATGAAGCTGCAGCTAGTAAGTTTAGCTTAGAATAAAGAGTGGAAATCACTCGACCACACATACAAAAACGCAGTGTGAAAGCAAGTTGCTTGGAGGTACTTGCCTTTGCACGGAGCCAGGTTAGCACTTCCCCCCCTTTGTCCAGTTTTTATGCTCAGCTAAGCTAACCATCTGCTGGCTCCAGCTACATATTTACAGTATAGACACAAGGGTGGTGTTGATCTCTTCATCTGACTCTGCAATAAAGAGAATACGTGTATTTCTTATGGTTATTTCAACCATCTTGATTAAATATGGAAAGATGCCAAGAAAAGCAATAAAGATGTGGCTCTTAAATTGTATTTTTGCCATGAATGTGTAACCCAGGTGCATGATGACTCACTCATCCACCACACACTAATTTAGCCAACAGTAGTCAATTGATTCCCAAAGCAAGACTATATAATTACCCATAAAGTAAGATAAGGTTTATTAGTGCGTTATTCAGTACAAGTAGTTGTTCAAACCTGTATCTGTGTGTCCAGGCAGAGCTGTCCTTTTCCCAGAGGAAGGTGTGCAGTGAGCTGTCCAGACTGAAAGGAGAGGAGGTCGAGGACCCTGAGCAACCAGACTCCAGCTCATCATTCCCAGCAACACTGCAGGTACAGTTACTGTTCTGGGTTTTTATTTACAGTGCTGCAGCACGGAATCAGTTTTCTTAAGACTCATATAAACTTGTATCGTAGCACAATGAGTAATTTATTTGACACCGTCTTGTCTCACATCTTGTTGAATGAGAATAATGAGATAAAGAGTTTCACATAGCATCATAAAGGGAACAGAAACCAGTGAGAAGCTTGTTTATGTGACTTCCCTTTAGTTAGTTGCTGCTTTTCTTCATTTCAGAAAGTTCTTGGGATGACTGTAATTGTCTGAGCCCTTAGATTGTATGTTTGTCAACATTTATGTGTGGACAAAGGTTTAATTTTGTGACCAGGTTGTCACTGCTCTGTCTCTGGAAGTACCTTGACCATCTGTTGGTAGTTTCAAATGTTTATTTGGTTCCTTCAATGTTATACTATGCAGGAATTGTCAGTTACTGTTTTTAAACACATCATTCTAACTTGGCCTCTTCTCCCTACGCTGCTTATTACACTGCAAGCTACTGTACTGTTGTGAGAGTGTTACATTTGTTCTAATGGAAAAACTGATCTATTAGCAAGCTAACAGCTGGTCTTCAATACAAGTTGTGAGATAGTGTTTGTGTTTTGACACCTTTTATGAATAGTAATGCTACCGCCTCATTGCTGCACAGCTTTATTGCAGACAGTTATTGTACTGTATGTGCCTGCTTGTGGTGTCAGTGTATGTGTGTGTGTGGTGATTTTTGACCTGTAACCTACAGGGGGCACACAATGAGGAGCGTCTCCGCATCGAGATTGTCAACCTGAGGGAGCAGCTGGACACCCGGTCAGAGGAGAACGGTCTGTTGATTTTATTATTATTCAGGGCAGGTTTGCGACACTGACTGCTGTGACACTGACACATGTTTTATTTCCTCCTCCCTGCTCCCACCTGCAATGCTGATCATCAGAAGTTTTAGAAGGTGAGTGAACAGCTCATGCTTATTATTAGTCTGGGAAGCCAATTAGTAGGTCTTGTGATGGATGTAGATGCACAGTTCATTCAGCCTTTTTCTCACATTTAAAATTTTTACCCCCCTTGGTGAGACCGAAACTGAGAAAATGAGACCAACTTGTAATAAACTGTATTTTTTCTTTAATTATAATCTGCTTTGTTTGTGTGTGCAGTGCAGCTTTCCAGTCTGAAGACGGAGACAGAGAAGATCCAGGCTCAGAAGGACCACTTGCAGGCTGAAGTGCTGGCCTGCCGCACTGAGCTGGAAGCCCTGCGGGTGGCACTGTCTCATGTGCAGAACACCAACAAGGCCATTGGTAATGATAAAGTAAGTCCAGTCTGTTCAGTTACTGCTGATGCTTCACACTTTTTGTCTCAGTGACATCTGTAGTGCTGTTATTTGTACTGGTGCATACAAGTCGTGTGAGAGTTTGTCAACGGACGTTATGGTATAGTTTTGCTGTTAAACGTGGAGGCCTACGACTTAAATTCATCAAATGAAACCCAATCTTGTCCAAGATTCTACAAGTTTACATTGTGAATAGTATAAATGGTGATTTCCACTGCTGCTATTAGAGTAACTTTTGTTGATACTCCCACTGTGAGTCGCTTAAGTAATACATTTTCAAATCTGTTTTCTTGTGACTGTCAGGCGGCCCTGCATCAACAGTGTTTGGAGCTGCGCAGCCAAGTGATCAGTCTGCGCTCCCAGGTTGACACCAGCCAGACAGTACAGAGGGACTTCGTCCAGCTCTCCCAGTCGCTGCAGGTAAGAAGCAATAGACGGCTGTAGAAGTCAGCTTGAGTGGAGTAGGGATAGTGAAAATTGGAAAAAAAAAAAATAGCTAAAACTTTTTCTTGCTCTTGCAGAAACTGGTACAAATTAGTTCCGTATTTTATCATTGACATATTTATATTTTACTGACCCCTCTCTCCCCCTTCAGGTGAAGCTGGAGGTAATTCGGCAGGCGGAGACTATTGAACAAGTCAAAGAAATCCTGGAGGGGGGAGTCAGTAAAGGTGGTTCCCCGCCTGCAGATGCCTCATGAGTTACAGAGTCACACAGGAACCAAAGAGCAGCCCAAGATAAAACAGCAGTGACCAGTAAGGACCAATTAACCACCACCACATGAGACACTGTCGTGACCACTGGGATATCACAGCCGGTGCTGTGAGCACATCTAACATTTGATGGATACTCCTACAGAGACATTATTTATCTGTTTGTTTCCGAGGTGATGGTTCGGTGTCAATGGCCGATACTGTTGCTTAGCGACCAAAGTGACGTTCAATTAACCATGAGGACGCTTAACTTTTTTCACGCATTCTTTTTCTTACATCCAGTAACATGTTTATTCCTCTACTAATACACATGAAAATGTATCTGTTGTTAAAACTGACTTGACACCAGCAAAACACTCGACATTCCAACACTTGACTTTTCACTGTATCAGTAATTGATATGCAAACTACGCAGTTATCTTTCCATGCAAACACTTTTTTGCATCTTCTTTGTGAAGGAGGAGCTCTAACAGCAACAGATCACAGTGCAATAATGAATAATAGAGATACTAAGTAGAAACTCTCCTAAATTAACTGCATTTCAGATGCAATTTTTATCACATACTTTAATTTGTTGTCTTTTTATTTTAATTAGCATCATAAACTATTCCTGTTCTCACCACAACCATATTAGCTTCTAAGCTAATTTACGGATGTGGATTAGGAAAGAAGCTAAGAAAATAATCATGAAGAAATGTGAATATGTAACATCATGTCAGTTTGTTTTGTGTTAATAATACATATTGAGAAGTAAAAGTAGGCTGTCAGTCTTTTCTTCAACCTTTGAGTTCATAATCAAATACTCTGATAAAGTTTCTCATCACTGGGCTCCATGCAGAGTCACTTACAGGTCCAGTGTGTAGGATTTAGGGGCATACACCGGCAGAAATGTAATATAATATTTATAATTACGTTTTCTTAAATGTATAATCACCACAACCTAAGAATTATTGTGTTGTCGTTAATTTAGAATGAGCTGTTTATATGAAGCAAGTCCAACTCCATGGAGTCTGCCATGTTGTTTCTAGAGTAGCCCAGAACAGACAAACAAAACCCTGCTTGGCTGCGTCCGCCACCGTAGTTCCCTTAAGCCCAGTTCAGACCAAGGGTTTACGACAAGATGCATTGAAACAGGCAACTACAGAGCATCTGCCAAAGCTAGCGAACACGCCATCTACTGTCATTTTGGCTTAGCCAATGGACTTCACTACAAGTCGATTGGCTGTAGAAACAGGTGACGTGCTTTATGTTCTAAAACCAGCCGCCAATGATTTGATCAGCTGAGGTACAGGTGACACATCAGCCAGCTTGAGTCGAGCTCCGACCGGCCAGTTCACACCGCTGCAACTTTTCTCTGCAATGTTCTAAAACAGTTTCTTCTTGTCGCAAATCTTTGGTCTGAACTGGGCTTTACATGCTTGGCACACGGGAGAAGCTTCAGTTGGATGCACTCTGCAACATTACCGCTAAGGTGCCGCTAAATCTTGTACACTAGATCTTTGATGATGAAAAAGCAGTCACAGGAAATCTATAACATGGATATGCACAGTAATATATTTCTTTACACTGTCTAATTTAATAAAATAGATTTAATATACTGTATAATTTGGTTATTGCCTTTTCACCTATTTGGAAATACATGTATGATCTTAAAATTCATTGCAAAACACAGCTGCTGCAAATTCAACCCCAGGTTTTAAAAACCTGAATAATGTAAAGAGTTAACAACACTGATATCCAAGTCTCATATTCTTTAATACATATCTTTATTCTTTAAGAATAGAATCAACACAGAATAGTTTTAATAACTGTTACCTATATATTAACTTCAGTACATACACAGAAAAAAATATTTTGCAGCTTTCTTTTGGTGTATTTTCAGATGGCTTATGTGTTTTTCTTTTTTATTCATGCCACTAGATGTTTTGATCATGTCGAGTGACTGTTGGCAGGCTTTCTTTCAGTGGGAGTGCTCAACCTTTTCTCTCCATCCTCTGTGTGTCAGCTCTCTCTTCTCTTTTGCTTCAGCCGCTCTCTGTCACACTTTGCTTTTAGACTTTTCCTGTAGAGGAAAGCACAAGCCTGTCAGCTGTGAGATAAAGGCAGTGTACAGAGTAGCTGAGTAGTTAAATGCACTGAGTGAAGAGTCGAGGAATAGTTTCGGGACATTTTAGGAATATATTAACTAGATTTGTTGCCCAGAAGTAGCTAGATGAGAAGTCTGACACCGTTCTGCCGAGGCTACATGCATTCATGCAGCATCCAGCTAGTTTAGCTTAGCACAACCAAGCTGCTAGCCAGTCTCTGTCAAAGTTAACAAAATCCACCTTCCAGCACCTCTAAATTTCACCAAATATCACACAATATTCCGTTTGTTTAATTTCTACAAAAACCAAATTGTAAAAATGAAACTTTGCACAACAGAGCAGTGCAGGAATGAGTCCTAAAACCTGGAAATGAGCTAGGATTTTAGCACTCCTGGTTCCTCTTCTCAAAGTCATTGGGTTTTTGGTTAGATGCCTGAAAAGAGGTCTGTGGTTAGTAAGTTTAAGAGACTTTCACATTTGTTCTATGACATAAAATATGTCTGTAAATCCCAAACTTGAGAATGTTGAAGCTTTTAGGTGTCTTAATAAAGGCAGTTGCTAACAAGTAGCTAAATAAGACTACAGAATGTCAACACACTGAACACGGCTTTACAGCCTTGTTGTGGTGGGGACGTTAAGTCACGTGACCACAGTGTGGTTCGTTTACAGCCCAACGTTAGCTTTTTACCTCTGGCGATTGCATTTTGGCTTCAAAAATCATTAAAGTGGTGTTTATTCTTGAAGATTATCTTGCTGAACAAAATGTCTGAGTATCCACAGCTTATTTTTTCTGTAGGCTTTTTGAAGCAGCAACCTGGGCTTAGCTAACTTCTGCATCGGCCTGCAAGAAAACGTCATCTCTGCAGCACCCTATTTCTTGGCTGGGACCATTTACTTCCTGGGGTTTTCGCTCATTGCCTGGCAGCTGCTCAAAGACAAGAAATAGTCTGATGCAACACCCGTAAAACAGGAAATTGTAATTTCTAGATTTCATTTTTTGCAGAAATTGATAAACTCAATACATTCACTAACCCATCCATCCACCTGTTTCCAGCTTGGATGTGTTTTATAGGCAAGACAGTAAACTAGCAAGACAGCAACTATTTTCATGTATTAGTCCATTATCAAGCCTATTACCAGTGCCGCATAGTGGGAAAAAGATAGCACATTTGCTAAATTACCGTGTAATATAAAAATATATACACATATAAATTCCAATTATACTCCATAGAAAACATTATGTTTTCTATAGTCACAACAGCAACTGAGCATACACAGTCTGTTCGAGAAATGATCAGCAACATTTTGACCTTGTTGGCAAAATGCACAATATTAATTTAATCACAATGCACAAGTAAGTAAATGCAAAGTCATAGCCTGCTAGCCGGCATCTTACTTTTTCTACTTTCAGAGGATCTACAAGCCCCTTGAAGCAATGAACTCAAGTAACAATATCAAGCTGCCAATGACAAACACAAACTATGCAAATACCACGTATGATGCTGAAACCAATTCATGACAGATACACAGCCGAACTGTTCACAGCTTCACTCAGGATCCAAATGCATTAGTGCAGAAAGATTTGCATGACAGAGACATACTGAACAAAATATTCATGCACGATGCAGGGTGCTTAAACCTTTGGCATGAGTCAGGGGAATACCTTGTTTTGTTACAGGAGTATGGAGGAGGGGGGAACAGGTTTAGACTGGATTGTCAGGGAGGGAACAGTGAAAAAGTGCATCCAAGGAGAGGAAAGTTAGATAAATGTCATCGGAGTAAACAGATGAGAGGAAAGAGGGTGAGAGATCATTAAAACTGTCAGGGATAAGAAAACAGGGAGATAAAATACATTCAAAGGTATTTAATTAAAAGGTATATTGTTACTTAACACTTGATTAATCAATTGTATATGTATATTCTTTAAAAATTAATATAGATGAGTCATTGATGGCATAAGTTCAAGTTCAAATGTTACAGGACGAAGATAAAATTGTGTTCTTTAGATGTATACACATGTATTTTAAAAGTAGGTCTGTGATCTTGCAAATAATCCTTAAAATCATCCTAGCTCTGCCTTAAGTCTGACGAAGCCGCTTCAAAATGAGTACACATGTTGTGGAGGTTATTTTTAACTCATAAACCTGTAAATAGATGATCACATTTGTTTTTTGATTTTCCAAAAATTTATACACACGCACATGATAATGAAAGAATAAAGGACGTGAACAGGCCACATGATCAGCTTACCCTCCAGATATGTGCGAGCCACAAACTTGAGAACCTCATCGATAAGGATGACTGGGAAGGAGAGCTTCAGCACCATCATCCACTGCTCCACATTCAAGTGCGTGAGCTTGAAGATCATCTGTGGGCGAGAGCAACGCTGTGTTAAAGCTGCCAAACTCGACACACAACTTTCAGTAAGAAAAAGCTGCATATAAATGATTGAGATACTAACATTAATGCTAATGTGACTGTTCATACTCTTTTTGATACATCTAAAGAAGAAGAACCAGTTAAATGTATGTGTTATTCTCTAACTGTGACCAATAATGAGCTTCACCTTGAGTAGTATAAAGAGACATCTAAAAACAATTATTATTTTGTCACACCATTTAGGAGTCCACCAAGGCCTCACGAAGCCGAGCAGCTGGTTTGATTTTGCTCCCCCTTAAAGGAATACTTCAACTTCAAATGACCATTCGTATGTCAATTACTCACCTTGTGTTATGTTAAATTTGTTAAAAAAAAAAAATGTTCTCCATGCCTCCACAGTGAACAAAGAATTACAAAACTGAGAAAAGTCTTGATGATTTGAAGTAATTTGAAGTCACCTGATTAAACACTTGCACATATATATATATATATATATATATATATATAGCTGTAACTTGGATGTATAATCCAAGTCACAGCTATCCATTTCAATGTTCAGGATGTCCCAAACAGACAGCCCTTTTCGGGAACTTAATGAAACATGAAACTTAACTATGCTCTCTGTCAAACCAGACTCCATTGACAAAAACAGTAATTTTACCTTGCTGAACACCGGCACTGCTGGTCTATTGGTGCCTCGATCTGTAGCTTGTTTGTTCAGATTCAGCAGGGTCACACAATATCACAAACGCTTCTTATAGCCCTATTCGCACAGGACTATTTAATCTGCGGATGTCACGTGTTTTAGAAATGATCCCCCAGTGTCTATGTTTCGTGCGGTGCATTTGCACAGGATAAGCAATGTTTGTATTTTACTCAAATTGACATTATCCCGGGATATGATACACACAGTTGTTTGTAACTCCACTGTACACAATGCAGAAACATAGCACCACTTGCAGTAATGAGCAGTGTTAACCTCCTTTTTTATTTTAAACAAACAGAACTGATTTTGCCACACATTGCTTTTGAGATTTGGCTCTTCTGATTAATTGGAGCTTGCTTTTTCTGCAAATGGGTCTGCATGCTGTGTAGCAGGATGAGTCTCCTGCACCCAGAGTGCTGCCAAAATTTTAATTTGTTATTGCCAACGAAGTCTCCGTAATTCTTGACCAGGAAACGGAGCACAGAGAAAACAAAAAATATGAGACTAATATTATAACACTACCACTGTGTTTGACAAAATATAGTAGGCAATTTTTATGTGACAAATTACAGACATGGCAGATC